CTGTTCTTTGAATTTACTTATGTTATTTTTACTGATTTAGTTGAAGAACAAAAAAGCAAAAGAGTAAAACAGAGTAAGAGACCTCGTCATTCCACTGTAATTATTTTGTATATTTCCTCTGGCTAAAAGAGGACCCTTATAAAGACATTCTCCTCTTCACAGAAAAAAATAAGATAATTTTTATCACAGTGAGGCAAATAAGGCACCTTAAGATAAAACTAATGAACAGTTAAATACAGAATGAATTGAAATGCTTTGTTTTTTAACTGTATTGAAACATTCAGCAATCTACCATGAGCACAAAATGATAATAGGTGGATGCTTTACAGGGTTTTCAGTCAAATCTATCTGACAATTATTGTGCTGTCATTCATGATGTTTACTTTTACATTAAATTGAATCAGCAATGGTGTTCCACAAATTCGAGAAAAAAAAGGAAAAATTTAAAACAAACCACTGGACTTTGTTTTCAAGTTTCAAACTTGGAAACAAAGTCCAGTGGATTGTTTTTAATTTTCTTTTTTTGGAATGACTTAAAAAAAAAATCTGGATTTCTTTTCAGTTAATCAATTAATTAAAATCTTATTTAAGAACTGGATTCACAATCCACAAAATAACCAACATCCTGCATGGGTTTGTTTTTTTTCATAATTGTTTTTAACTGCATTAAAACTTTTGTTCTTGCAGCTAAAAACTGTTATATTTCAATATTTAAATGAGTCACTGAATACTGGTTCAATAGCTGCACTTTAACATGAACCGTTTTTAACATTTCTGTTATTTTTGCCCAATATTTCTCTCCAGTCTGATGTTATAAAGTTTAAATTGAAAATCTCTTGCTCAGTATCTCAATTAAAAGGTACACCCGGCCTTAAAGTAATACACATAAGATAGAACCAGAACTAGAACCCAACTTACTGATATTACTAGCTAAATGACCAAGGAGTCAAATTAGACCAGAGAGGAGATATGCTGGTAGCTTTAGGCTAGTAAATAAGGAAAGTGATCCAGATAAAAACTTTATCAGCAGAGAAAAGGTTTGAGCTTCAGGTGTGAAGTGAAAAATAGAGTTAGAAAGAATTTCAGTTTTTAAGCATTTAAAGAAAATGTTAGCTTTATCTTTGGCTATTTTTGGAGCAGTTTAAAAAGTACCGGTAATTAAAAAAATACAGCAGAATCCCTTACCTGATTAAAAAAGGTGTATGTTCTTGGTTGACTAAAATTAAGAATCAGATTGGGAATGTGTCAGGGTTATGCCCTCTGTTTAAGTTTATTTTTAGTTTCTTTGTATTTGTAGTTGTTTTCTAGCAGTTTTTTGTACTTGATTTACTCTCTGTTGCCCCCTTGTGTTTGTTTCCTTGGCTTCCTTCCAGATGCGTCCATCCACACCTGTTCCTGTCAGCTCATTAGTCCAGTCTCTGTTCTGTCTCCAATATACTCTCCCCTTTGTAGTTCCTCAGTGCTGGTTCCCCATCTTTTCCTGTCTCATGTATGCTTTCCCTGACATCTCCTAGATTCATTTTTTTTCTGTATTTTTCTGTGTTTGCTTTGGAATTATATAGTATACAAGATTTAAAGTCCAAAAAAGGAACATCAAGGAGGTTCACAATAAGAAGCTGGAAAGAACACTCCAGGAGAAAGATTTCAGGGATGTTTGGCCAAGGATGAAGACACTCCCAGACTTCAGGTGGAAGGAGTACCCCACAGACGGAGCCATGAAATTGAATACTTTCTTCAATTGTGTTATTTCAGAAACAACAGATCAGCATTCCTCTCTTCTGCCTACAGTTAAACAGACAAACCCAAATCTGATTCCCTATACTGTAAAACAGTAGGATAATGTTTTATCTTGCCTTTCTGCCCAAGACCCTCCTGCTTCCACAATATCTGTTTGTTCTTAACTAAATAAGAAAATGTTTCTACTGCTGCTCCCCGACTTCCACCCACTGTATCTATCTGTAGATATCAAATTTAGAAGCCATTGAAGACGCTGGATTGGAATAAGGTGTCTGTCCCACAGTTCTTAGGGCCTGTAGGGGCGTGTTTGGGAAGATCTCCTTCCATGTTCCAGCATCAAGAAAAACTCAACTGAAGGTTCTACACAGTTATAGACTTGTTGCCTCACATCACACATAATGAAGGCCCAAGAGAGACTCTAGTTTGTTCAACTGATTAAGCAAACAAGCCACTTTTAGGACCCCCTGCGCTTTGCCTATATCCATGGAGTTGGAGTTAAAGATGCTACCTGCTTCAGCAAACCTACTGTCAC